TGTAGCATATAGACCCGTTCCTAAATAATGACTCTACAAACAACACTCTCTGATAGGCAACGATTGCAGAATAGGTAAATATACGGCAACCGTTACTGAGTAACGGCTTCTCAGACGAATAGGTTCCTACAGAAACGATTGAACTAAACAAGGAGGAGCTGTGTTGTCTACGTGGTCCTTGCCCATAGGGTTATGAGACGTTGAGGGTCCCACATTATCTAGACAATCGGATCACAGATGGCGGTAAGGTTGTCAGCCTTACGCGCCGGGCCCGCTTTACCAAGAGGAAGATTCCCGGTATTCATTTCTACGTAGAGGCTGAGTCGACTCCAGGGCCATATTTCGGCTGGAAGGATTAGGTCAACTGAAAAATATCCACCTCATCGGGACTCGAACCCGCGACGTTCCGGCTAGTAGCATTGTACCTCAACCAACTACGCTACCGCGTGCTCCCTGCTAAGACGGTAATGAAGTAAGATACTGTCCGCAGACTTCAGTTTAAGATGTATTTTTTATTGCTAGTGTAGTGGGACTAACTCCCTTGTACTGCGGCCACTTCTGGCCTATTGTACCGGCCACAGATGATAGGTGAGGGTGATTGTGGAGCAATTTGTGGAATTAAGATTGACAGGGGAAACCGAAGTACTCGGAGAAAACCTACCCCAGCGCCACTTTGTCCACCACAAATCCCACTTGACCAGACCCGGAATCGAACCCGGTCCGCCGCGGTGGGAAGCCAGCGACTAACCGCTTGAGCTATGGCGCGGCCTGTTTAAGATGTATCTCACAAAGGATAGAAATGGTTTCATTTTTTTTCCTTGTGTACTCTCGAATAGGCTGTCGATATTCAATTGAAAGCGCGAATTACAAAAATACCCTAGAGAAATTGCACTGTGGCATTTCAAATGGAACGCGTGACAAATGGTGAAGGGTAAAATAGCTTTCAATGAACAGTGCAGATTCGTCGTACCCTCAATCAGTTCCAATATACGTGCACATAAGGGGTAATAAATTCCCTTGCGCGGCAGCGTGGTGTTTTAAATTCTGTAGAACTCAGCCCTTCATATGATAAGGGTTGAGAAATGTGTCATACAAACTAATAAATAAAGAAGGCTGTCTTGTGGGATGCGACGTCATAAAATCTGGTAAGAATATACTAACATTTGGATGAATCTGGTGCCTCCATCTTCAGGATATATGAGTGAACCACTGTAAATATAAGTTTACGGATTGTATATATATTCGTGATAGTAGTCAAGTTGTGTTGTAGGAATAATCAGTTATAGAAATTTAATATCATTAAAATTGTTCAGTCCCCATTAATGCCAGGTGTCTAGTAATACTTTTATATAGATAGCAACTAATGTTAATTATTTTGATTTATTTTTCCTCCCTTTCAAAACAATTTCTTAAATTTTTATTTTAAATATTTTTATTCTTGGAAGAACCACAACCTCAGGGGTAAAGCTGTCCGGACGTCGGAGTAACCACTTTGTTACTTTCATGTCGAGTTGTATTCCATAGCGCTGTTCATTGTAACATTATCACACTACACTTAGTTACAACACAGTTCTTAGAATAATTTAAATTCTTCATTTTTTTAAAGATGTTTCGGCATTTACAACTTCGTCCTCATGGGCACATACTTATTAATATGAAAGACATTCGCTGAAGAATTTTTTTCCATAATTGTATATAATTTTTGAGAATTTAAAACATATTAAAATACTCATGAAACAGTCTTTAATACAACGATATTGTATGTAACATAAACGTACTCGTATATTAATATTTCTGTGTACAATTCAGTTTTCTTGTTTCAAAGCCATGTAAAAATTATAATTATTGTAATTTATTTAAATGTAAATATAAAAGAGCTATCCCTGTAACAGACCGTGGAGGCCCATAGGGTTCTGAGACGTCGAGGCTCTCACATTTTCTAGAAAATCGGCTCATAGATGGCGGTGAAGTTGACAGCCTTATGTGATGGCCGCCATTTACCACCCAGGAAGATTCCTGGTACTCATTTCTATTAGAAGCTGAGTCGACCCAAGGGCTATAATGCGGCTGGAAGGATTAGGTCAATTGAAAAATCCAGTCACCTCATCGGGAATCGAATCCGCTGTCTTTCGGCTTTTAGCATAGTGATGTAATTTATTTACTTTGAAATGAAGAACGTGACGTCTCACTTCCACTTAATGCAAAGGTTAAGAAGGTGTGGAACCTTGCCTCCATTACCCCATAATTCTTTATATCATGTTGTTTACTTAATCTCTGGGGCAAATTTACCTTACCTTTACACATTTTGTGCAAGCATCTTCTTTGTATTCTTCTTATAATGATGTGTTGCTGATTATATGATATAAACTTCGTCCTAAGTGCAACAATTTATTGTAGGTCCTTCGTCTTGCTTACTTCTACAATAGGACATAGGACGAAGGACCTACAATAAATTGTTGCACCTAGGACGGAATTTATATCATATAGCGTATAGAGTGCAACAGGATGCTTAGATATAATAGTGTTGCTGATTATTAAAATAATTGACTTCTTTATTACAGCCACCAGTCATTTTTATTCAACGGTTATATAAATCGACATTAGATAAGATTTGAAGGATTCTGAAGATGGTGTAAACATGCGGAATTACTGGGTTTTTGGATTTTGACCATCGTCCGGTATTCTGAAAACACTTAGAGAATACAACGTTTCAGAAACTGGATCTGTGTCCATCCTCAGGTGAGGGGTGGAGACAAACACTCCGTTGGGTTCTTTGGAAAGTTACTGGACGTAGTGGCTAAGGTATCAGAGTAGGTGTCTCCCACACCTTTGTATGAGAACGGAAAGAGATTCAACATTCTGTTGTATTTTTTAGGATACCGGACGAATGGACAATCTCTAAAAACCCACTAATACCGTCTTAAACATTTAATATTTTATTTCTGAGAAGTAGTAGCCTGGAACGGGGTCCACTCAGCCTCGTGAGGATAAATGAGGAGCTATTTGAATGGAAAAGTAGCTGCTCCGGTCTATAAAACCGAGATTAACGGCCGTGGGGATTCGTTGCGCTGGCCACGCGACATCCTCTATCCGCTGAAGTTAGCACTAACTTCGACGACAAGCGGCGGTCGCTTGGTCGGTATAGTTCGCTTGCGGACTCAAGTCACGGAGTTTTGTTTTTTTATTGTAGGCCTAAATATCGTGAAAAATTTGTCTAATACAAAAATAATTTTTCATATGTATTAAAAATATATTTAATTGTTTTTCACGCATATTGTCAACAATAATATTTGGCTCTTATATTTAGCAACATAACCATTCCTAAATATGACATTATTAGTCGAAACAGAGGCTGGACACGCACATCTTGAGTCAAACCTTGCAATTGGACCTAGTCGTGAGGTGGTTTTACACATCCCATCTACACAATCTGCATTCATCTTAACAATAATCCTAATATTACAGTCGCATTCTCCGAACTTTCAACACTACTCTTCGGCATGAACTGATCTGTAACAGCCAGAGCTTTGTTATGAACTGGAGTGTAATAAATATTCAGTTTGTTTTGAGACAACAGTAAATTCGCTTTCTTTGGCGTGAACTGGTTCCATTCGCACTTGCAGTTCCCATGTTCCATTTTTAAATCCTATACACGTAGACCTGTTCCCGTGAATGCCACTCCTTGGGATGTTTATAACACATTGGGAATCTGAGAGGATTTTGAGTGATTTGAGAATATTAATTGTATTTTGGCTTGAGAAATTTATTTGTGGTTTCGTATGCTGTCAATTCTTACGTTTCTCGCACGTAGTTACATTTAAGATATTTTCAAATGTGTGGTTATTTTAGAAAACTGTATTGTTATGTATATTAATATATAATGTCTGGAAGTTTTTCAGCATCTTTTTCTCGTAATACATCGCTCATATATTGAAATGACTTAAAACAATAACTTAGGGTACAACGAAAACTTGTTCTTCAAACAAGATTTGCCATACACAACAGTTCTGAACGTTTATGAATGCCGAGCTATTATACGTGTCGAAAATTTTATAATAGTACAATGAGTTTCAGTAAGAGACTTGGACTGGTGTATATGAAAATGTACTGCTTACGTAATTTTTAAGTTAGCTCTCACGTTGCTAAGTGCCTTTCACCTTTTGATGAATGATTAAGCGAGACTAATTAAGCCAATTCATATGCAGTCACATTTACATTTAAATTGAAAACTAAATGATTGCTTTTATAAATACATGAAAAGTATGTAAATATCCTAGCGATGTCTTTGACTAAATTCCTTGCAGTATCAAGATTTCAGTTTTTTTATATGAAAGTTGTGGATTCAACAGAGAAGAAAAAAAATGTAATTGAGAAGGGCATAACAGTAATCAGTNAGTATGTAAATATCCTAGCGATGTCTTTGACTAAATTCCTTGCAGTGTCAAGATTTCAGTTTTTTTTATATGACCGTTGTGGATTCAACAGAGAAGAAAGAAAATGAAATTGAGAAGGGCATAACGGTAATCAACCCTCTTACTGGTTTTGCTACCTTTTCCGCCACTCTTGACTCTGTTGTACTTAAAGGTGTACGATCATAGATGGCAGCACAGTACGCATGACGCCACATTGATAAAAAACAGCACTTACAACACGCCTAAATACAAGTAATCCGTAGAAGTTAGACACGTAATCTGAAGTGTTTAGTTATATAAAGCAAAGAGAGATGAATGGCGGGCCAGTGTGTGGTGCTGCCAAGTAGCCAGAACGCACCATTGATGTATATGGTGGCCATTATATGCAGGGCAACTTCAGGTGGAAGGTATGGCAACAGTGTCTGACGGTGCGGCAATCCGCCACTCGGCCGTCATCGTATTTGGTTTACACAGTACTCTAGCCTTTGTTGCTAGAATTGGCGGCTGAGGCTTGTACTAATCACATATAGAAGGACTTGGGAGGAAGTATAGGAGGGGGAGGAAGTAGAGAAACAGTGATGCCAAATGTAGCTTTGCGGAACTTAGGTTTTTACTGAATGCGAATTATTTTATTAAATGTGTCTGTACTCGTCTTGTCCTCTAATTCTCTCGGCAGATATTACAGTTGCGTCATACTTTTCTAGCCATAGAAACCACGGCGACCGTAATAACCACCATAACCACCATAACCTCCGTAACCTCCCAAATTCCCATAGCCACCGTAACCCGAGTAGATTCCAGGAACTCCTGAACCACCATAACCTCCCAAATTTCCATATCCACCGTAACCCGAGTAGGTTCCAGGAACTCCTGAACCACCATAACCTCCAAAATTCCCATAGCCACCATAACCCGAGTAGATTCCAGGAACTCCTGAACCACCATAACCTCCATAACCACCATAACCACCATAACCACCATAACCCGGATACGTTCCTCCATAGCCTAATCCACCGTAACCTAAGTTGCTGTATCCTAGTCCTGAAATCCCAACGCCGTTAGGAAGTCCATAAGTTCCTCCGTAGTTAGTACCGAGGCCGGTATAATACCCAGGGTTTCTTCCATATTCGCCATTATACACGTCGTTCAAATCTTCATTGCCCGACCCTGCAATAAAAAGCGAGGAAAATATACATAGCGAATGCCTGGGGATTTGAATATATAGTGATTCCAAATTATTGTCGGGTTTTCCATGGATTATAAAAGGAAACCCCGACAATAATGTAGAATCACTCTGTATAATTACTGCTAACAAACGTTTTAAAAATGTGTTAACATATTACAATTTCGCTAATTCATTAAATTAAAGATATGGTATAGAATTCAAATGACAGGAAATTAAAAATATTATAAATATTGCGTCATACCTTCATAGTATGCGTGTTATATTTATCGTTTGGTTCCGTCAACATATTGTGGCGTATAGACCCGTTTCAAGGCAGCGACCGTGAGACAAACAAAGAAACAACATTCGCTGCTATACAACATATTTCAATAAACAACAATATACGGTCTCTGCTAGGAAACGGTTCGGTAAACACGTTCCTGCTGCAACACACGAATGCAACAATTACGCAGTCCTTGTTTAGATGTTATAACCGGTACTGTTTGGAACAAGGAGTTCAGAGCTCAGTTGAAAGTCAGGCTGTGAAGACAAGACTTTATGTGTGCTGTAGTTACAGTGATATTTGGAGTGTGTAATTCTGTGAGACTGTTATCGTTACGTGTGGTTACGATCCGTAAGTGGGGCAAGCGGTAGTGTAGTTGGTTGATGCACTATGCTACAAGCCGGAAGGTTGCGGGTTCTATTCCCGATGAAGTTAGTGGTTTTCTTTTCAGTTAACCTAATCCTTCCAGCTGCACTTTAGTCCTGGGGTCGACTCAGTCTCTAACAGAAATCTTCCTGGGGGTAAAGGCCGGCCAGCGCATACGGCTTGAAACCTCACCGTCGTCTGTGAGTCCATGTCTAGAAAATGTGTGAGCCTCGACATATCACAACTATATCGGCCTCCACTGCCTGTTACAGGGATAGTTTTACCTGTTTTTATCTTTTTTTTCGATCCGTAAGAGTTCAACAAATCCAATATCTAATCCAAAACCCGTCGAGAGTCACTGACAGTATTCTGTGTGTAGATACACCATGCATTAAAAATTCATAACACATTCCGTGTTAAATGTCTGACACACATATGTACACATATGTAAGCATTGGCCAATATAAGGAAAAGAGTAGATAATCAAAGATGCATGTACAACAGGTTACGATGGCTCAATGTATGAAACATATTATAAGTCCTTAACTTATAATACAGTATATCTATACATATGTTGTGCTACTGGAAAAAATTAAGGAAATAAAAATAAAATTAGGCAGTTAGGGAGAAGGATTGGAGATAAATTAGTTTGCATTCTGAGATATGTTGAACAAAATTGTCATGAATAAATAAGAGTTGAAAATCGCCTGAAGATGGCAGTAGGTGCTGATACTTGTAATTACCGTACTCTGTTATATAGTATCTGCGCATAAAAATAAAAATGATAAATTTAAACTTAATGAAATACTCGTAGAAACAATTTTGCAGGTTTCAGACGATGTTTCACGAACTCTGAGGAATAGTTCTGACGTTATTTACCTGAAGCTTGTGTCTCCAGTTCTTCAGGTTTCCTTCCGTTCTGCAGATCTTCTCCGTGAATTCTTGATCCAAGTGTCGCAAGGATCACTAAAGCGATCGCCTGAAACAGAATGCAAAATTTATGAAGGAGAATTGCCACTATATTATTAGTTAGCTATCCCCGTAACAGGCAGTGGAGGCCCACAGGGTTGTGAGACGTCGAGGCTTCAACATTTTCTAGACAATCGGCTTACACAGATGTCGGTGAAGGTGTCAGCCTTAAGCGCCGGCCGCCCTTTACACCCCAGGAAGATTCCTGGTACTCATTTCTGTTAGAAGCTGAGTCGACCCAAGGGCCATAGTGCGACCTGAATGATTAATTAAATTGAAAAAAAAATGACCTCGTCGGGAATCGAACCCGCGACCTTCCGGCTTGTAGCATAGTGCTTAACTACGAGTAATTACGCTACCCCATGCCCCACAATATTATTATAAATGATAAGATTTCTTTCCATCTTTGTCCTTAAGGGCTCGAACCCTTTGTCCAGTTCAAATTCAGAACTAATTTTGAAACCATAACTACGTACGTATCTCACTGGTTTAACTACAAGGCGGACTGTCAGAGGAACTGACTCTGCAAAGGACAAAAACAAAAACAAAAGAAGTACATATAGGCGTGCCTCAAGCAGCAATGAATTCCACAACCCCTTTGTTCCTGCGGTCCCGAAACGTATGAGTTAATATACCACGTGGTCATGTGATCAGTAAATCATGATTTTGATATTAGTTGCCAATTTCAACCTGCGAGCTGTTTCATGGACAGTGTGTAATGGAATATTAACATTATCTTTTAATCTTCAAACACAGTGGACCGCTTATTATCCATACCAATTAGTGAGAAATGTGGTTAGGGTAAAACAAATTTGGTTAATTTGATTAGATCCTTATCCACGGGAAAAAATATTATAAGACTATTATAATGTGCTCTACTGTTATAACAATCAAACGCTTTCCTAATTAAAAATATCTTTACTGCATATAACACTAAAATATGATTTAATCAGAGGTTACTATATATATATCGAAGATATGCGTTCGAATATCTATCGACCATCCTGACTGCGGTTTTCGTGGTTTTCTTCTGTCCCTCCCATTGCGAAATCACCGTTTCTTATATATGTTTTCGTACTATAAACTTTCCTTGCCTTTCTCTCGATATTCCCTTCGAGTCCTTCATGTTAACGAATGATGATTTTACTTCGACATTTAGAGATATCTCCCACGAGTAGCACGCACAAATTTTCAATCATAACCATCTCCTTTGTATAATATACAACACTTCACATATAAAGAAAGCAGTCTTCTGGGATTTGGCACCGTGTATATGTGGTGTTAACCGACGTTTCGGAGGAACGTATCGCCTGCATCTTCAGGGTAGAAGCTTTTACCGGTTCTCATGGTCTCTTCGCTTGCAGATTTCTTATATTTTTTCTTCTACCCTGAAGATGGAGGNACGTGGTCAGCGCAACGGATCCCCACGGCCGTTAAACTCGGTTTTCTAAACCGGAGCTGCTACTTTTCCATTCAAGGAGCTCCTCAGTTATCTTCACGAGACTGAGTGAACCCAGTTCCAGACCAGCTACTGCTCAGAAAATCTTGTAGCGGCGGGAATCGAACCCGGGACCTCTGGATCTGTACCCAGGAACTCTGACCACTAAACCACAGAGGCGGCCTTTTTTTACCTTACGAACTAAGACTTAGAAGACGATGGCGGAGTATATTCTCTGAGACAGAACAGGCTAATAAAAGCCTACCTTGAAGCAGATGATGATGATGATGATGATGATGATGATGATGATGATGATGATGATATAGGAAACTGAATTAATATTGTTCTTACCACTCTCCGAGACATGCTTCATGAGACGCGGTTCTCCTGTCTGCGCAGCCACTCCTGACTGGCATTGTTCTTGTATTCACATATATATAAGGCATATTCAAGGACCAAACAGAAGACTTTCGTACCATGACTACAAAGGAAACTCTGTGTAATTTCGTACTGCGTGTTTCCTGTCACAACTTTGACCCAGAGAACAGAAACACAGTCTACAATGTTTCTTAATTAGACACTTGGGGATAATTCAGTTGCTCTGAGCACGCATGCGGTCGGATCTGTGTTACATTTATGAAGTTGTGAGTTCAGAAACTGGGTGAAGGTTAAAGACAAGTAGCTTACCTTTATGGAATGTTATGTAATTTATAGTTCAACATATTCACATGTTTGAGAACGACAGTAACAAGTCAAATCTTGATTCAGGAGAAAATTAAAGGGAGATTGAATTCGGGATATGCTTACTGCCATTTAGTCCGGAACATTTGTCTTCTCGTCTGCTGTCCAAAAACATAAAAATTAGAATATACAAAACTATAATTTTGCCTGTGGTTCTGTAGGGTGCGAAACAAGATCTCTGATATTAAGGGAGGAACATAGACTGAGGGTGTTGGAGAACAGGGTGTTGAGGAGAATATTTGGATCGAAGAGGGATGAAGTGATGGGGGGTTGGATAAAACTGCATAATGAAGATCTTCATAACGGTTACTCATCGCCAAACTTAATTAGAATTGTCAAGTCAGGGAGGATGAGATTGGCAGGAAATTAGCACGAATGGGGGCGAAGAAGAATACATATAGGATATTGGTGGGAAAGCCAGAAGAGATGAGACCACTGGGAAGACCAAGGCGTAGGTGAGTGGACAATGTTAAAATCGATCTTAGAGGGATAGACTGGGGTGGTATGAACTAGATTTATCCTTCTCAGGATAGGGGCAGTGGAGGACTCTTGTGTACACGGTAAATAGTCTTCGAGCTCCGTTAAATTCTGGAAAGTTCTTGAGTGGCTACACAATTGGTGGCTTCTTAAGAAGGACTCAGCTCCATGAAGTTAGTTTAGCTAGTTTATACACGTATGTTAAATGTATAGTTGAATCCTCTTGTGTTAGAGTACAGGCCTGTAAGTTAAGGTAAAGTTAGCCATGTGCTCGACCAATTAAGCACCACGCTATGAAGGCGTATGGGGGAGTGGATATTTGGTTCCACGTTTTCTTGACCACGGCACTAGTTGGAGGTGAGTCGTCAGCTTCACGCACCATCAGCTTTACCCCAGGTGACAGATCCCTGGGTACATATAGGATAGGAGGCTGGGTGGGTCCCGGAGGGGGTCTGGACGATGTGGAGAAAAGATAAATCTTGACCCTACCGGGACTCGAACTCCGACCTCTCGGTCATCCAGTCTGTGGAGCTGAAACTTGTCTGATTTAAATTAATTGATATTTTCGACATTATCTATCGCCATGGTTTTTATTTAGAACAAAGTTTCGGAGACTAAATCTGTCTGCCCTCTCAGGTAGAAGCCAACTCGTTTGGGCTCAAGCTGCCCTTAAAATCGCGCATGGCTAAGAGCACAATGTCTCATGTATGTGGAGTTGTGTAATGTTTGTCTTAACTCCCACTGATGGTTTGTGTTATGTTTGTTTTTATGTCCTCCCTTGTGTTGGTTATGGTGTCCGAAGATAGGGGCTAGCTCTATCGATTGGGCTCAATTGAGTACGCTTTTTACCTGAGGATGGAGACAGACTTCAGGCTCCGGAACATTTGTTTTTAGATAAAAATTAGGACGATGCATAAAGTCAAAAAGTCAATAATTTTATGTATTAGCCTAATCAATGAGACCACTATGAAGAGGCAGTCATTGGAGCAAAATAATATTAAAGTGGTTTTTAGAGGAATAAGCTGGGAGTTTATGAACTGGATTTGTCTGAGAAGAATGCCGTCTTCTGAGATGTGGCACCGTGTTGATCTTGTGTGAGCCGACGTTTCGGAGGAACATATTGCCTCCATCTTGAGGGTAGAAAAATCCGTGAGCGATGAACCAGAATGAGCAGGCGTCAGTCTGCAGCCACATGCTCACGCTGGTTCCACATTTGCGGATTTTTCTGCCCTGAAAATGGAGACGATACGTTCTTCCGAAACGTCGGTTAGCACAATATCTACATGGCGTCACATCCCAGAAGACGACATTCTTCATAGTGACGGCCGTGAAAACCTCAAATCTTACATGGATTTGTCTGGTTCAGGAAAGAACCCATTGGGGTTATATAGGATTCTGTTAATTTACAGAGCAGCTGAGCAACTGCTAGCTGTATAGTCAGTTACGTATGTCACTAGCAGGATGATGTAGCAAGTCATTCTCCGAGACTTATATTTGGGATGTGATGATAAGCCTGAAGGAAAATAGAAGAGAAATGTAGAAAGGGACACGTCCAGCTAAACAAAAGACAACAGGAAATAGAAAAGCCAAGAAGGGAAAAAGTAGGCGGACCAAAAGTAAATAAATGATAGATGCCCAAGAAGGATGTTGAATTTATACCGGCGGAGAAGAGGAAGCGTTGTTGTTTCAGGAGAAACTCGAAAAAGTATGTGGATAAAGACGTGATATCAAGAGGACTGTTAAAGGAAGATAGGAATGGTAGAATGCGACATCAAAAGTAAATCCTATTATATAAATCGTCCTCATCCCAAGTGAATTTCAGCGAACAGCTTAGTTTTGCAGTATGGCTCCTAGCTTGGGCCGCGCCATAGCTCAAGCGGTTAGTCGCTGGCTTCCCACAGCGGCGGCCCGGCTTCGATCCCGGGTCTGGTCAATTGGGATTTGTGGTGGACAAAGTGGCGCTGGGGCAGGTTTTCTCCGAGTACTTCGGTTTCCCCTGCCAATCTCCATTCCACCAATTGCTCCACAATCACCCTCACCTATCATATGGGACTGGTACAATCGGCCAGAAGTGGCCGCAGTACAAGGGACTTAGCCCAACCCCACTAGCAATAAAAGAAATGGCTCCTAGCTGTGTTTTTGACGGTTACTATATTAGAGTAACAGACGGAATATTGGTTATGTTGAGGATTCCCATGAAGTTTCGGAAGACGAAAATTGGAGTAGTACTTAGAAATGTACGAAATTGTTCTGACTCCGTGAGCCTTCTGTACCCATCACTTCTCTTCCATTTTGGGGAGGAGGCTTGTTGCGACGCTCTCAGTGGCTACACTCAACAGAATTGGATGATAGTGGAATTTATAAGGAGTATTCATGTCCTAATCGAGATATTGACACGGAATTTGTCTCTGCGGACTGAGGAAGACCACAGAAGCCTTGAGGCGAGGTAACTAGTGTCGCGGCCGAGATTCGAACGGAGCACCTCTCGACTAGAGTTAAGAGTGTTACTTGTAGACCAGCTGTTCGGTTCTTCTTTCATAAAAAAGCAGTCGGTCCCTGTGTTCTTTCTTCCGTAAGCATGCTCGTTGAAGTGGATACACTGCTTACGTAACTCGTGATGTCATCAAGCTGAATGAGCTGAGCGGGACGTCTAACACGCATGGAGTAATGATAAATGCATACAAAGTTTTGGTTGGAAATCTGAAAGGGAGATACTAATTAGGAGAGTCATAAGTACATGAGAGGGTAATAGTTTTATGGATAAAAGAATACTCTAATGGTACAGAAAGAAAATCTCTTTTGTAAGATCTGAGGTTTTTACGGCGGTGACTATGAAGAAAGAGTCTTCTGGGATGTGGCACCGTGTAGATGTGGTGTTAACCGACGTTTCGGAGGAACGTATCGCCTCCATCTTCAGGGTTGAAAGAAAAATAAGAAATCTGCAAGCAAAGCGACCGTGAGAACCGGTACACGCAGACAGTGCCACATCCCAGAAGACTGCTTTCTTCAAAATCTCTTTTCTATGCAAGGACTCTAATCCTAGTTCCTCAGTCATCCATTAAGTAGACCAGTCATCTTCTGAACTGAGATTTAGATTCAAGCCCATGGTCTCTCAAGACTGTTAACTGCGTATGCTGGAAGTAGTTTTATCTGAAAGTGTGGGGGTTTTCTGAAAGTGAAGAGGTGCATCGTTTCAATACTGAAAAAGTATTTAGAATCGCAAGTCACACTTCTCAACTCTCTGTACTGCAGCACGTCACACTTATCAACTCTCTGTACTGCAGCACGTCACACTTCTCAACTCTCTGTACTGCAGCACGTCGCACTTATCAACTCTCGTACTGCAGCACGTCACACTTATCAACTCTCGTACTGCAGCACGTCGCATTTCTCAACTCCCTGTACTCCAGCACATCCCAGTCTTGTGCAGAATTATACAACGTCATTATGTATTATATATAAGATTTAATATTTCATTTAATATAAATACATTCTTAGGTTACAAAATTGCAGTTAATTGCATTTATGGATGCAGATACATGAAATTAAAACTTAACTTGTATATTTCTACAGAGCTAGGTGTTCTTCACACACGTATTGATTGAGACAGAATACAGGTCTTGGATTACAATGATATGATATCCAGAAATAAAACAAATATTTCTTTAATTCTGTGAAATAATTAACATTTTGGATATAAGGTTAAAGTATTTCTTTTTGATTCATATTGCTCTAGTTTTGTATGGACGTATCCAGTATTTTAATTTAACTGTCTTCGAACCTTGTAGAAGTAACTTTTGTTTCAGTCGATATCATCCCAAATAAAAGAGACATTTCGTCTAATTAAATGAAGAGCTTAGACTATTTTTAATACAATAATATCTTGTTAACCTCTGTCTAAAGTATCTTTGAGAGAATACAGAAGATTGTGAGAGAAATTTCTCTGTGTTCTATGAAACCTCCCTTGTGGAGGTCATAGTAATCATTGTTTGAAGGTTGGATAATATAATACAGATCTTCACGAAGGCAGTAACGTAGCCATATGTGTAAAGTAAGATGTTGGAAGTGGTATCCTCCTCAGAGGCATTGTAAACACAGTTTGCGGTTTGTCAGCTTGCAGAGCGAACCCTCGGAAGACCTTACATTTATACTGACAGAACTTTCAGCATTATCTTTCAATATGTCTGCTACTTCAGCTCTCTCTCTCTCAAATTACCAATACTCACTTACGGAACTACTGTTTCTTAGATAACAGTCACGTGAACTCATTACTTCAAGGCAGGCATTTCATTTGCGATGCTTTAGACTGAAGGGTATGTAGGACCCTGTGTAAGCACCATAGTTCCCATAGCCAGTACCATAACCTCCGACTCCACTTCCTAGTCCATCATAACTTTTGTACTTACTGCCGTAATTACCATAGCCTCCGTATCCCGTATTTCCATAACTTCCATAACCACCATATCCTGAATCACCATACCCACCATATCCGCCGCCGGTCAGACCATATCCACTGCTGAGGCCACCATAACCTCCACCATATCCACTGCTGCCATAATATCCGGGTCCATATCCCAAACCAGAACCGCCATAACCACCATAACCACCATAACCACCATAACCGCCATAACCGCCATAGCCTCGTCCCATACCAGCAAATCCAGCGAATTTATCGTACAGCGTGTTGCCCAGCCCGAATCCAAAAACTGTAAACAAGAACATTAAGCGCTACTTCAAGACATGTCTTGCTTTGCTCACTGAATTCTGCGATGCAGAGCATGTGCATGTATTGATGTGCCCATAAAGGAACTTATATTACTAAGAACATCTTTAATGTACAGTTGCAATATATCGATTGGAAAGATTGAAGTTTCAGCTGGACTCCTGGTTTGCAGCAGATGAACTTCGCGTTCCAGCTGCTAGGTAAGCTACATTCTTCAGTATCGCAAAATGGCGTTCAGGTCAGAAAAATAATATCGTGTCTAAGAAACGAAAATCTGTTGTGACAGTGCAACAGATTCCGCTCACCTCACTGTAGTCCATCACTGACCGTCTGGGGCGACAGTGTCGGCTACGTTACAAGTCCGAAAACGTGAGGTGAAATTGATGCTTGGAGTGTGCGCCCTTCCCGCCTGACCGGCCGAACGATTTGAGGCCTATTCCCGGATAAGCTATTTATACACGTATTATTTGCAAACAGCACAGCACCTTTTTGTGATATGAAAATGCTACTTACGTCTGCTGCTTGCTTCAGGATTCAAGTCTTCTTTAGTGTTATCGTCGGCGGTTTCGACAGACGCCTTTTCCTCGGCTAAGGTAAATGCCAAAGCACATACCAACAGCATGAAACCACGCATCTGTAACAAAACAAAACAAACTCTGTAGCTTGAGTCCGCAACTATACCGGCCGAGCGACCGCCGCTCGTTGGCGAAGTTAGTGCCAAATTTAGCAAATAGGGGATGTCGCGCAGTCAGCGCAATTAATCCCCACGGCCATTAATTCCGGTTTTGTAGGCTATTTTCTTGAAACAGCTCAATTATCCTCAGGAGGCAGAGTGAACCCCATTCCAAACCAACTACTTCTCAGAAAATCTGATAGTGCAGGGAATCGAACCCGGGATCTCAGGATCTGTAGCCAGGAACTATGACCACTATACAATATTTTGGTTAGGAACAGCACATAATCCTTAGTTAATGAGAGCACTGATTGCTTGTAATATTGTTATTATTATCAGCTGTGAACTGATAAAATTTATATAGAACACAGGACTGATAAAACGTAACGTATGGTCTATTCGATACGTCACTTCGCATTTGACAGTGAACTGTCGTATAAGAAAGCCTGCAGGCATAGTCATCGGAAAACAGTCCACAATTAAATACTACGCACCGGCCGCTTAGCTCTTTGAAGCATGAATTTAACTTAAATAGTACATAAAAATTTAGTTCTTACCTTGCAATAAAGAGAGAGCGTCCCAATTATAAAGAACGGGTTAATGCAGTTTAGAGAAATAACAGCTGTTTATTGTGAGAATTGTACCGGAACAAAAATAAACTTTGTGCGCAAAATAATTGCCTCTTAATGTTAAAGTATTTTGGACGTATTGTAACTACTGTGCTTATATGGTTAAAGCAGGAGCGAGTTAATAATGATGATTCGGTTAGGATCGAAGAAAGAAAGATATTCCGAAATTAGAGGGAAACTTTCGGAGAGAATTAATCGTGTATATTCGGGGACTTTATCTGTGTATTCTAATTCTTGAATATTAGAACATCATACGAGTAGATTGAGTAGCACTCTATAAAGTTTTCTTTTCATTGGCGCTACAGCCCTCACTTGGGCCTAGGGCTACCTCCATGAAACTCTCCGTTTCACTTCGGTTTTAATAGATATTAGACATACGGTAGGACTCCTTGGGCTGGTGATCAGCTCGTCGCAAGGCCTCTAGCCACAGAAAAACGCACACAAACATCCATGCCCTCAGTGGGATTCGAACCCACGATCCCGGCTTCCGAGCGAGCGAAGACAGTGCATGCCTTAGACCGCTCGGCTACCGTGACCGGCCTCCATAAAGTTTATCTGCCTTAATTTCGTCATGAATGTTATAAATAGACTTCCGCAATTTCTGATATTCGGCAAATTTATTTTGTTGTGATTTCTCCCTTCATTCTGATGATCGGACAAGAATTTATATGAAGTATTAGTTTTCTCTGTATTTATTTCTAGATTAAATTTCTTATTGATATCTTTTTATCTCTTTCCATGAGTGTCTTTGTTTTTTATCTTTATATTTGTTTCCAAAAGATTACAAGGCATCATTTTCTAAATCCAGTATTTAATGCATTCCATTCAGTTTGATCTCCCCCTGGTCGTCTTTATCTGTTCTCATTTGTCATTTACTCTTGCACTTCAGATAAATAGTTTGGTAAAAAAGTAAAAATATTCCTGTAACAGGCCGTGGAGGCCCATAGGGTTGTGAGAGGTCGAGGCTCCCACACTTTCTAGACAGTCGGCTCTCAGATGGCGGTAAGGCTATTAGCCTTACGCTTCGGCCGCCCTTTACCCCCAGTAAGATTTCTGGCATTCGTTTCTGTCAGAGGCTATGTCGACCCCAGGGCTGGAAGGATTAGGTAAATTGGAAAAAAAATCCACCCCATCGGGTCTCGAACCCGCGACCTTCCGGCTAGTAGCGTAGTGCCTCAACCAACTACGCTACCGCGTTCCCACAATAATATGGTAGAAATCCGAGAAAGCATTAAGTGCTGGACCACGACTAAGAATAGCTGCCACACAATACTCCTCGTTGCTTTCCGCAGCAAGTGATTTTGCTGACCATGAGTTCAGTTATTGCTGATTATCAAGTGGCCCCAGTGTGTCCACGTGATAAAGATGACTTACTCTTGCAATGCTAAACAGTTGTTTACTAGTCTTATGCCTTCTCATTGTTGTTCATTTTTCAACGTATTCTCTATAAGCTTATGACCAGTGAAGTAGGTACTAGAATTACCCAGTGATCGCATTAAAAAATACATATAAAAAATTTAAAGCAAAATCAGGTGGAATTTACCACCCAAGTAAAGAAAAATACAATCTATACATGTAGACTTGAAATATATGGGACATAAAACCCATTAGCATTAAACACAAGTTACAATATAACGCACGTCTCCATACTGTAACGTTATATGAGACTAGCTTTTAGGGGACCCGTACTTCAGATGGTTTAATTTTCTACACGTAGGAACTGTGAAGTTTTCTTTTAATAAATTATGATTCCTGATGATGAGAGTGTTGTTAGCCCGAAACATATAAAGCACAACCTGCTCATGCAAGATGGCCGTTTGTATCTGGCTTTATGCAGACAGTGCGTCGGGAAGAGGAGGCGGGATAGCTCAGTCAGAATAGCGACTGGTCACGGGTTAGACGGCAGAGATTTTTCTATCCTCCATGGCGTCCAAACCGGTTCTGTGACTCACAAAGCCTCCTATCCAAGTGGTACCAGTGGTAAAGCGGCCGAGGCGTCAAGCTAACTCTTCATCACGAACTAGTGCCGAGGTCAAGAATACCTTGATCCATACATCCATTCCCCCATACGTTTTCATCCCTAGTCTTTAATTTTTAGGCACAGGGACAAATTTGTCTTTAATATATCGGGAAATGAAAGTTATGAAATTGAAATGGAAATGTTTATGTGAATGTCTAGTCGTGATTGTACTCCTGTATTGTCGATTTCCATTTCTACACGTGATAGTCGCTAACCCATAATTTTACTCACTCACCTTTTCTGTGTGCGTGTGTGTAAATTTGTCTCTTGGGCAAAGATGTCGAACATAGATTGAGAACATTGTATTTGAAGGGTTCACAGCCGTGACTATGAAGAATTCTATATTCTGGGTTGTGACGCCGTGTAGCCCGGTAGAAGTTCAGCGAATTGTCTGATGAAAGTCCTACACAATTCTTTTTGTGTCTTGCTTATTTCTTGTTGTTTATTTGGTTTATTCTTCTAGTCCGAAATACATGCACTACATTTCTCTAAAACGTCGGTGAGTATTTACCGGACTTCATGGGGGACATTTCATAGAAGTTGGTGCTCCTCATTTTATGACTAAATCTTCAAATAAGCCACGGCGTAAACCTATCTAAGCCACTTTACTTATTATATTGTTTGTGACAGCGTCAGTTCTGTATATCTCGTAGAAGAATGATGTAATCTTTATCCATTATGAAAAATCAGTTTAAGTAGCAATGAAATATTTTTCAGAAACTAACATAAACTCATAAATTTCTTTATTAAAATCCATCACAACACAACAACAAAGCAGTTGATATTTAACTGTATTTTGCTACATGTTTGGGCTTTTTAGAAAACCATCATCAGGCAAATACACAATTAACCTGTTCTTACGCTATTGAAGTGCATACACAGCTTAAGAACACGTTAATTGTGTATTTGTCTGATGACGGCTTTCTACAAATCCGAAACATGTAGCAAAATAGTGTTAAAGGTCGACTGTTTTGTTGTTGTGCTGTGACGGATTTTAATAAAGGAATGAGTATATTGAACACAACAAGGATGCATCCCTTTAAAAAAACACAAAAAAATCAGATTTGAAAACACTGAGTATCCAGCTTTCCACCTCATCGTGACTCGAACCCTCAATCTTCTAGCTTGTAACATAGTGTCTCAACCTACTACACTACCGAGAGACGAAGTAGCAGGAGGTTGGAGAAAACTGCATAATGAGGAGCTCCATAATTTGTAGAATAATTAGAATGATTACGTCAAGGAGGATGAGATGGGCAGGGCATGTAGCACGAAGTGGGGAGACGAGGAATGCATATAGAATATTGGTGGAAAAGCCAGAAGGAAAGAGACCACTGGGAAGGCCATGAAATGGTGGTGGTGAATAATATTAAAATGGATCTTAGAGAGATAGAATGGGATAGTATGGATTGGATTGATCTGGCTGAGGATAGGGACCAGTGGAAGGCTCTTGTGAACATAGTAATCAACTTTCGGGTTCCATAAAATGCTCGGAAGTTCTTGAGTAGCTGCGCAATTGGCGGCTCCTCAAGAAGGGCTCGGCTCCGTGAGTGAGTATCCAGTTCTCTCTTCCCCCCACCATTTATAAAAGACTGGGAGGGCGTGCTAAAAAGAATAAAGCCTCAATTTTTTCTCATATTCACAGTCTTCGCTCTATTTACGTTGTTTTATAGAAACTGTGCTTGTAACATAAACTTAAGGAGTACTGAGGCGTGCAAAAGTCCAATGTTCAGTGGCCCAACGTGGTGATTAGCAAGGACACTGAGCTCATCAGGGAGCACATACAGTAGAATTAAACGATCCGATAAAACCAAGCTCTCTCTTTCAATGAAAACTGTTCGTGACGCGACAATTCAATACACATTTAGTTATGTCTGTATGTGAAATTGATATCAAGGTTGAAATATTGATGTATTTAGCTTTATGGTGTATCTAAACCAATAGACCGTAATGCAAATATGATTACCACTGCTACATTTAACACACAGAACAGTATCGGTACAGGAAATTTAGATTAATTGATATGTTAGCGTGAGAAATAAAAAATGTGACGTATAATTTTTTGCCAGTCTCTTATCACACTTATGGTACCCATCTATCTCTGGCTCTACAACCTTTTGTTGTACTTCGGCTGATTTTTAAAATTTTTTAATCCTAGACGCATTTGGTAGGAATCCTTTAATGGGGTGTCAGCATGTCCCAACGCTGCTACCTACACACAGAATAAACGCACACAGACATACGTGTCTTGAATGGGATTAGAACCCACTATCTCATCGTTCTAATGAGCGCAGAGTGATCATACCTCAGACCCCGCCGCTATTACGATCCGCAAACTTATGATATGCTTCGGCCCAAATAATTTAAGGCTACAAAATACTTGAATATGTTATAAACTTTCATAAAATGAGGAATATACATAGTATGCATCAAGTTTTATCTACTAGGTCAATTTGTATGTTATACATAGCACTCGTCTTTCGTATAACATTAGGGGTAAAATCCATCTGATCCACTGATCTAATTACTATATAGAGATTCAGTTCGTACTTCACAGGAAACACACCACCTTTTAATATTGTTCGGCGAAACGTTCACTGTTTGTTGTGAGAACCACACTAAACACATGCAGAATTTAGACTTTAAGTGTTAAAGCAGCTGGTACAAATAATAACCATTGGGCTATACAGTATTAATGGTGAGTGTTGTGTGAACATTTCTCGGTTAAAACGTTCACAGTATTTCATGCGTAGTCTGTGATACACGAACAGAATTTCTGTGTAATATTAGCATTGGTTGCCTGTTTGTATAAAAGATAAATTAACTGGAATCTGTAGTTGTGTTAAGTGTGTTATGTAATAATTTACGACTTAATTTGCTTTTCTGTGATTCACTTAAATTTATAGTGTCGCTAGCCCTAGGAAGACATTTTGTGTATTATTTCTGTAGATGTAATTAGGTATTGGTCAAGTGATGTGTGGATGGAAGGTGAAGTGCTGAAAAGCAAATTATTACGTGCTGTAAGCGAGGAGAAGTTGTAATCACTTTGAAGTTCATTGTTATGGTTAGTAGAAAATCTTATGCTTCTTTTTCTATTTGATTTTGATGCTGTTGTATACAATTATGAGTTCCAAATATAATGACTAAAGTGTGCTTCAAAATTATTGTATATTTCCGTTTTCAATGAGTCGGAATAAATATTTAATTTTATTTCAGTCTTGGGAGAGAAGGTTTATATGAAAGAATAACAAAAATTCAATGATAAATTATATTAACACATTGAATTTAAAGTGTATATAACATTTCAACTTCACTAATTAAGCGTTATACCATGAAGGCGTATGGTGGAGTGGATGTATGGATCCACATTTTCTAGACCTCGGCACTAGCTGGAGGTGAGTGGTCAGCTTCACGCCCCTGCCGCTTTACCCCGGGAAAAGAGCCCCCGGTACCCATTCGATAGGAGGCTGGGTGGGCCTCAGAGCAGGTCTGGACGACATGAAGAAGAGAAATTCTGACCCTACCGGGACCTGAACTCCGACCTCTCGATCGTCCAACCCGTAGGCAGTCGTTATACCGACTGCGCTACGCCCCATGTATTGATTTTGATATTTACAGTATTTAATTAATGAAGATTATACAACGTTTCTAACTGGTTTCGATTTCTGAGAAAAATTTCGTACAACTGCAAATTTTTAGCATTAAGAATGGTGGTAAAACCATGCTGGGTTAGATGTTTTCATGACAGATGTTATAAAGAGTACGACCTTCGAGCTTGTAACGTTATATAGTTCAAAAACCCCGACGTTTCATAGAAACCTACTGCTTCCATAATCAGGACCGAAAATTAACTCAAGCATGAAATCAAGATAATCAGACTGTTTCCTCAGCTCAGCTTGCCGCCTGTTTCTTCTGATTTATCTTGGTTTACAATTCGAACCTGAAGAGGGACGCAAAATATTCCTCCGAAACGTCGAACTTACTCCGAGTTACACTGTTCTACAACAAAGAACTACGGTCTGTCACACTTGTTTGGAGAGAATTAGAAAAATCGTTAAGAAACGCGGATATTATCAAAAGTTTTCAACTGCAATTCGATTCGCAAGTTTCGGAGTGTGACGTATAATAACTACCGCTACGCTAACCTGTTTAGTTGTTGTCCAGTGATTTTAACAGGCGTGTCTACTACTATTAATTTGTGGCTTTTAGTCCGCAAGTGAACTTTACCGACCGAGCGACCGCCTCTTGTCGGCGAAGTTAGTGCCAACTTTAGCGGATAGAGGGTGTCGCGTGGTCAGCGCAACGAATCCCCACGGCCGTTAATGTCGGTTTTCTAAATCGGATAGGCGTGTCTAACTGCCTCTTTATGTACATATTACGAAGTTTTAAGCCAATTTTAGATTAGCTTACAAGTTTAAACTTGTAAATTCTTTAGAAATTTTTATGTTTTGAAAGCCGTAATCTGAAAGTTAGGCAAATCGAAAAGGGAAAAAGTATTTGTTTTCTTCAGTGTGATTCCGACAGAGGAAATGATTGCTCAGCTTCTAATATTCGCAACAAGGGGCTTAGAATTATGTGTCAGACGGTTTACTCTTCTTAGCGTAGTTTGCGACTTAGAAAGGAAATTTTTCTCTCTATCAAATTAGACCTCACGGCGTGAAGACGGAAGGGGGGAGTGGCGCTATAGCGCAGTCGCTTATAACCTATGCACTAGATGGAGGTGAGTGTTGAGTTTCGCGTCCCGGCCGCTTTACCCCCGGGGATGCAGCTAGCGGTGCTCATTGACTGGGGGACTCGCTGGGCTCCAGAGCCGGTCTCGACTATAGAGAAAGGAAAAATATTGTAACCCTGCCGGGAATTGAACTGCGGTATTTCAGTTTGCATCCTAGTCGCTATACAAGAGAGTGAGGAGAGTGAAAGGGGCAAGACATTCATTTACAAATGCATGGCGGGAAAAAAATGTTNAACCATAAGTGCCTAAGAAAAATACCGTCTTCTGGGATGTGACGCCGTGTAGATCTTGTGTGAACCGACGTTTCGGAGGAACGTATCGCCTCACTCTTCAGTGTAGATTAAGATGGAGGCTACACGTTCCTCCGAAACGTCGGTTCACACAAGATCTACACGGCGTCACATCCCAGAAGACGGTATTTTTCTTAGGCACTTATGGTTACGAAAACAGATTTACAAGAAAATTAACTTCTGAGGCTCGAAAGAGGGAGTTGTAATTTTTTACGTCACTGTTGTATAAATGGAAGAAATAAATTGCTCGATTTGTAACAGCCGCGGATTTCCTGAAAAATGTATTCATAAATATATCATCTGCACCGGATATTGGAAAGAATGGGTAAACATTTACTCTCAACCGACTGCTGCAGAACGGAATGGAATTTTGAACTAACCATAAGGTGTCCCAAAAATATATTTACAAAAACATCCCTTAAACTATGTGACATTTGAAGCCCTTACAGCCATGAACATAAAGATTCCTATCTTCTTGAATATTGACGATTTATTTTTACATGTCTATACCCATTCAGTACTTGATTAAAAAGATCATTTGCCAAATCACCAATTTCTCTAACTCTTGTTACCCACCAACAATTTCGCTTAATAAACACGTATTTTAATGTTTTTGAATAGCTGATACTCATTTTCTCTCTCTGTTTGATTCAAAAAGTCGTTCGTACACTCACACATTTCTCTGATCATTGTTACCCACAGACCTTCTCACTCGGTAAACCTGCGAACATTGTAATCTTCATTGTCACTTAGTTTGATTCACTCATCTCTTAATTCAAGCAGATATTCACCCAATCACCAACGTCTCTGATCAGCATTCACTCAGTGATTTATTTGAACAATCATTCGCCCAGTCATCAATTTCTCTGAATAGTTACCCACTCAACTATTGTTTCAAACAACCATTCGCCCAATCATCAGTTTTTTAAATAGCTTTCATACAGTGATTGACTAACACAACTATTCGCCCCATCACCAGCTTTTCTTAATAGCTTTCACTCAGTGATTGATTCAAACAAGAATTCGGCCCATCACCAGTTTCTCTGAATAACAATCATTCGGTGTTTAATTCAAACAATAATTCGTCAGATCACAAGTTTCTCGGAATAACATTCACATAGTGGTTGATTCAGTCATTCGCCCAATCATCAGTTGGTTTAAATAGCTTTCACACAGTGATTGACTAAAACAACCATTCGTCCATTCACCAGATTTTTCTAAATATCATCCAGTCAGTGATTGATTCAAACAAACCTTTGCCCAATCACCAATTTCTCTGAATAACAATCACACTGTGGTTGATTCAAATAATTATTCCCTGAGTCACCCAGTTCTCTCACTATTGTTATCCACCTTCTCTTTCGCTCGATAAACCTGAAGATGGTTGTTCAGCATTTACTGTATCATTCTTTCAATCAATCAATCAGTCAGTCAGTCAAATAAATTCCTCACGCCAGGCCAGAAGTGTCTGCTTATTCTTTTTCCCCTTGGCACTACAGCCCCAGTGGGCCTAGGCCTACCTCCATGAACTTCTCTGTTCACTTCGGTTTTTCTAGATCTTACACATTCGGTAGGACTCCTTGGGCGGGTGATCAGCTCGTCGCAAGGCCTCTACCTGTACACAAACACAGAAAAACGCACACATACAAACTAAACATCCATGCCCTGAGTGGGATTCGAACCCAAGATCCCGGTTTCCAAGCGAGCGAAGACAGTACACGCCTTAGACCGCTCGGCTACCGTGACCGGCCGGTCTGCTTATAGCACATTAATATATTACATTAGAAACGAGAGTTAGTATTCGCGTTATAGAACTCTGCTAGCCAGTGGCATGCGTGTCCTACCTGACTGCGAGCGTCCATGTTCCCTCTTTTCTTGCAACTGCTCAGGATTTCTGAGGGCCACATCTTTTTATATCCAAGGGGATTCCCTTGTCAAATGTCGTAATAATTACATACTGGTACCCACTCATACTACAAACAATATATACACAAGAAACAATTTCAAGACCATGTCTATGAGAAAGAAAATAGATAACAAAAGAAAATAATTATCATTTCCGGCCATATACTCTTTTCACTTTCTAAGCATACTTCCAGGGTAAACGTTTTGTTTAAAGAGCGGTTTAAAAAGCGTAACGGTTTGTAGTTACGGCTGGGTGGAATTACCCGTATTTTTGGTTCACGTTGCATCTCCACCCAGAAGTCGGTCAAGGCTGTGAGACGGCGTCACACAAAGGAAGAAGTTGACACAGTCACGTGAGATCGAAAATTGAATTCTAGTGACAAATATAATTTGAAGTAATCGCCAAACAAAGGAAGTATTTTAACTAATTGAAGAGAATATGAGTCCATTGTCAACTGACGGGCTTACATTCCTGATAAAAACATATACCGCATTTAGCGACACCAGGAACTTATGGGAAAATGGGGGTTCGGGGAACTGAGGATTTACTCTGTTAATCCTTTCAAACCCTGAACATAATTTCACGAGTAGGGACATGAAAAGAAAGTAAGAAGAGAGAGCATGATAAGGGGTGGAAAGAAAAAAAAAAGAGTATAAAGAGAATAAGGAAATGGATTAGAAAAAGTAAATGAATAACTGGAGCAGGAGAAAGAGAAAGAGTAAAGTTTGAGGATGAAAGGAGAAATGAGAGCAAATGATAAAAGAGAAGAAAACGGCTTGCTTAGCTGGTTTCGACCGTTTCCATCTTCAGAATAGAATAAATGCACCCAGCGTGTTTTCATAAAAGTCAGTAATATCTACCAGAATACACGATGTCACATTGCAGAGACTGTTTTTCAAGATTTATAGGTAGCTGAGAGGAAAGTTCTGGTTTATGACCAAAATGGGCCCCAGTTTAGATCTGCAGGTGATGCAGAAGACAATAATTGTTGTGTCCGTGAAGAGTGGAATCCCATTTGACCAGTTCGTAGCCAGCTAACTTTAGGCCAAACTCTTTAGTTTGGCCGTGCCATAGTTCAAGCGTTTAAGCGCTGGCTTCCCACCGCGGCGGCCCGGTTCGATCCCGGGTCTGGTCAGCTGGGATTTATGGCGGACAAAGTGGCGCTGGGGCGGGTTTTCTCCAAGTACTTCGGTTTCCTTTGCCAATCTTCATTCCACCAAATTCTCCATCGTCATAATCACCCGGAGCAGGCTACAATAGGCCAATCAGTGGCCGCCGTGCCGAGCGGACCCAACTGGACTCCACTCCCACTAAACGAATTTAAAAAATAAAAAGAGTAAAGTTTTCGCTGAGCAGGTCACGGCAGCCGAGCGGTCTAGGGCATGTACTGTCTTCGTTTGCTCTGAAGCCGGGTTCGCGGGTCCGAATCCCACTCAGGACATGGATGTTTGGTGTTTGTGTGTGTATGTGCGTTTTGCTGTGTTTGCGACGAGCTGATCACCCGTCCAAGGAGTCCTACAGAATGTCTAAGATCTAGTAAACTTAAGTGAAACGGAGAGTTTCATGGAGGCAGGCCAAAACCCAAATTGGGGCTGTAGCGCCAAACAAAATTTTCGCTGTGCTTAATTAATTAATTACTCATCTAGTAATGAACACTCATTATTTTTAACCTCTGATATTGATGGAAGTGAATTTGCAGTTTCACGCCTCGGCCGCTTTACCCCCGACAAAAAGAAAGCCTCTGATACCCACTGGATAGGATCCACGTGTAATGTTGATACAATATGAAATGTGACTGTAAATATTTGTGTTGTTTTTCTTTGGGAAATTACGTTGCTGGGTAACACCTGTGACACTTCCATCTGGCTGTCCTCTTCTTGTGAATTGTATTTCGTTTGCAGGTGCATTTTTGTGTGAGTACTGGATTTTTTTAGCTGTGCAGATGTTTGAGGAGATATCCACCCTTTGTGTCAGGGCCTCTTTTGCGGAGGAACTAAAATTTATGCGCACGTGGTCTTCAAACATGTACATTTTTAAAAGTATAGACTATTTTCAAATTAAGATCTGTAGAACATGTTGCATCTTTCTTCTTTGTTTCCTGTCGTAACTTATATACATTTAATATTTCAGTAGAAGAAAATCAATATACGACGCACGTACTGAATATTTTGGAGCTTATAAGCTACTTGAACAATTTACGGTGTAATCTCTATAAACGAGAATATATATATA